ACAGGTTGCGACACTTGAAAAGGTTATTTGGCCGAAAAAAGTATTTTCACTTTCAAAGTTGTACTTTGAACAACAACCAAATAGTAAAGAGTACAACAAATTTACATCAGTACTTTCTATATTTGCAGAATTGATTACTTGTTTCTTTTCCCGTTCCCTCCTCGGTGTAGCCGTGTGCTGCGATTTATAAATATTCGATGACATTGATTATCAACAAGGCATCCCATAATAGTAACGACAAAATAATGCTAGTTTGTTTCTTAAGTATATTTCACATCAAGAAAACCAATCCACATGTCCGGTGTTTTTGTAAGTTTAGTTTAATGTCGCTTCCAAGATTATTGCACTTACATAGCGACGTGTGTGTGTGTGTGTGTGTGTGCGTGCGTGCGTGCGTGCGTGCGTGCGTGTGTGTGTGTTTGTACCAGTCCGGACTGATGCCGATTTTATTTATAGTGTTAGCCCACTACTTACACTACTCTCCTCATATATCGATGCGTTTTCCTGGGTACACGATGTTTCAGATTTGTTGCAGCTCACCAGTCCTAATTCATATACAAAACATTTAGTTACGTTCATATGTTATTTAATATGTTCGTGTTTTGCAACCTACGTGCATATATAATGTATGGTAATGGTTACTCGCTCGCTAAAATTGCCCTCGCACGTATGGAATGATTTGCCCTGACGAATAAGTACCGTATTTCCTCTATTAGACGCCGTGCTTCCAATACACGCTGGCCTCCAATTGACGTCGGGTCATACGCTCTGTCCCAAAACATGAAAGTCTGGCCTTTGTAATACGCCGTCTCAAATACTGTGATGTGTTGGTGATTACTAATGACAGTTTCCTGTTACCTTTGTATGACTGAAGAATGTGATAACAATTCGATAAGGTAGTGAGTTGCCGCAGACAACCGGGGTATATTAAAGTGTTGAAAGAATACAGTTCGTCATGTTTATTTTTTTTTTAAATAATAATTGAGCACACGTTGATGTCGGAAAAAATAATTGAGCCGCACTCGGCAATATTCTAGCTATATGACTGCGGACTGTAAATAATCGAGTCTGGACCAGACAATCAAGTGATTAACATCATTAGCATCGATCCACGCAGTTGGTATACAATGACATGCATCAACCAAGTCAGCGAGCCTGACCACCCGATCCCGTTAGTCGCCTCTATTATATCAGGGTATGAAACACCCAAAAATTTCAGCCAGACCACAGGACTGGCTAGCTGAAATACTTGCCAGCCCTGACCAAAACCTGCCTGCCCACTATAATCATATGTTTCTCAGGATAAGCTAACGGGGTTTCTTTTTGGTTACATTTTATCATTCATCTTTACATGTGAATTAATGCTTATCATCGGGAAATATTTTGAATATTTTCACATATGAAATATAACCCGACCGTCGGGCAGGGGGATTTGAAAATCTGGCAGCCCGAGTTCAAATCAACCCGCCTCGGACGGTCGGGCAGGCAGGTATTTCGAACACTGATTATATATAGAACATACGGTTCCTATATAGATTCAACTCTCTGGTTATTAATCATTAATTTAAAATTAATAACTCTCTGGTAGTATATCTAGGTATTATATGGCATAAGTCTGTTTGACGTTTGTTTGTATTATGGAATGACCATGTGTCAGTGGGTTTTATAACAATAGAACATTATGCCGTATTGTCGACACTGAATACTTATAATAGCCTAATTATCACTTCATCGGTTCCCACTCACTTTCTATCACCTGTTGTCATTTTAATCTCATCCATCCGACCAACAACGTGTTGCCATGGATGTAGCTAACATCGGGAAATTGCGTCATCTTTGTTCGCGGTCTCAGCGGCATACATACAACATAAAAAAGGGATCTTTTGTTTTGAGAGACCATTCACATTGTCTCCCATACTTACTCAAGAGCACTTCCGGTGACATCGATTTCACGCTGGGTATTTCTTTACATAAAGGATACAACGTGCTGCAGGCGATATATTTTAACAACAGGTAGATTTTCGTATAGTTTATTGTGTGCATCAAATAAATCTGCGTGACGTTTTTCCTGCAATGCATTGACAAACTCAGTTCTACGGCTTAGATGTAGCTGGGCCTCACATACCCCTTAAGTGCCCCCGAGAGAAGCGAAAAGTATTGTGTAATAACAGGTTCGTTACACAAAATGTTACTGTACCAGCGCTTTGTCTAGTCTGTGTGAACATCTTTCAATCGTAACTATAATACCATGACATAACATGACATAACATTTTAAGCAATTTCGTGCAGTTTGGACAACATTCACACCAAGAAATGTAATAAGTCAATGGCAAAAGTCAAGGTCAAATAAACAAGATGGCAGATGCAGTAAAATTTCGAAGTTAAATCAGTACTTTTTAAAAAAATCGGGCATAGCTTTCGCGCACCTGGCTACCCGCCAGGTCTGGGAGTAATACTGCCATCAACTTCAACCCCCATCCCCCAGACACAAGGACAACTGTCACAAGCGTGCAATGTCTGACCCTTTCCCCATGTTGAAGCATATTGAAAAAAACTTACCTTGTACTTACCTTTTGATGAAAAAAACAAAACTCCATTGCAAACATAAGACATATATCCCCATGACATGGGGTTTTGGCCGCTGAAGAAACATTCATAGTTTTTTCGCTTATCACATGAACAACTGTAAAACATCTCATTCACTTACAGGCTAAAAGACAACTTTATCTTAAAAACAAGCCATCAGCTGACTCTGAGTATTTACAATTTATGTGTGACGCCACACCCCACGTTATAGTGCAAGTATTCGTGACAGAAAACGTATGATGTCCGAAAACCTATGCTGGTGAAAGCCCTGATCGAAAACATGACAATCCGCGCCAAATGTCCGGTTTTCGATCATATTTTTCGGAGTGTTTTTTTTTATTTTTTAATTAAATTTTTACGCGGAAGATGATTTTTTCCGAGGACTACTGTTTTAAAATAACGCGATTTTCCGCGTTTCTGCGGAGATTTCACATCCCTGAAATCAAATCAATTAATTAATATAGTTTAGGGACTGTACGACACACTATAGCTTGTACGTCTTCTAATGGCTTCAGGCTACTGAGCACAGGCCAGCCCTCTTCTGCCACACCGCCATCGTCTTGTAACAAAATACTTGTGTAATTTACATATACCGGTATTTTAAAATAATGACGTTCAAAAGTTCAAGTCACATGTATAATGTAATAAAACAGTATTATTGAGGACTTCTTTTTTGTGGGTGGAAAAGCACGGGTGTCTCGCGGAGTTGCGTCCCCTACCCTTAATTGTCTTGTCGGTTCAAATTATGATCCTTCGATCTGCACATATATACCTTGGTGTCATTTTGAATTTTCCTTCTCACATTAAGCTGACCTGTCGTAATATAGCTGAGATAGATTTCAAAGCAGCCTCAAATCCAACTCATTCATGTTATTGTGAGTGAGAACGTCTCGTGGTGTGTTCCTGTATAAGGAATGGATGACTTGTAATAATTAAGTCTCAGTTTCGATGTAATACTTGAAAAGAAATCATCATAGTAATCATTATCACATAATATTTCATTGTCTTGAACATACCAATAAATATCACAGTGTATAGAGTCAATGGGGTTGAGACAAAGTGTTAACATGTTTGTTTACAAGTTTGTTTGTTTTTATTTTTTCAATCTATACGTTTAAAACGTTACAAGATCGCAGGCATGGTTGAAGGGCTTGTCAGTAGTTGTTGACCCGGTTCTGACCTAATGAAATACAACTTTCGACTTCAGAGACTTACGAGTACCCGGCCTGATTATGTCAAGGTCACATTCTTCTATGGCCGCTGAATATCCGTGGCGGGAATGATAGCATGACATCACAGAACCCATTCTCCCTTCGTGCGATTTACGCGCTGTTTACAGAAGGGCTTAGTCTGTGTGAGATTTGACTGACCCGCCAAGCGTCTCGATCACGTGACTGGTCCTTTGTTTGCTTGGCGAGTGACCATTGTCTATTGTGCGGGACTGGCTACGCAGGGTGTCTGTCCATGGTGGCATTTCCACTCCAAGCTATTTTCTCGCTCTTTGTTTTTTAAACTGCTTTATATCATCTTTCCAACCCTGCTTTGATTTTGTAAGAGAGAAAGTGAATTCCTCAGGGCAAATAGCTGACCTGCAATTTGGGCGTCGATTTCGTTCAGGGCCGCTACTGAAATAGGTGTAATTACCCTGTCGAATATACATTGACATGAAGTCACAAATCAAGCCTTTGATGCATAAAGATTGCTCACAATGCCAGTTTGAGAAATATTTTTTATACAATTGATAAATTGATAATTAAATGTGCACGAAATGAATTCTTTTAACTGAATGTTGAGATACACAGTTTCAAAGACCACGCATTTTCAAAAGTCCATGCAAAATACACGAAACACGTGTTTAACAGAAGTGGCAGTTGCTAATTGCTCCGTGCGTATTACACTGGATGATAGGCAGTTGTCAAAGCAATAAATATTCATGCCACATGTTGATTGCACGCGGTTCTCATTGCACATTTGATGATGTTGTAAATCCAGTAAAACAAGGGTATCAGATTACTAAAAACCATTACAAGTTAGTTTCGCTTTTAATGGGAACCCAGTTTTGGGCCTCAAGAAATTGTTTCGGAAAATGCAGATATTTTGTACCAAAATATAAAGTGACTTTCACTGGTGTGGTATTTTATACCAATAAATTTGAAGATTATTGCTATTTGGCGAGGAAAATGTGGATTTATAATGGTTTAGCACTCATTCAATAACACTTTCAGATTAAATTGATATATGCGTTCAAATGCTACTTACATTACCACCATATACATCATTTTTACATTCAGAAGAACAGAATTTCCTAAATGTGTTACGTTTCTTTAACATGAAAAGTCCGACAGCACTTTCAAATATAATTCACACTTGATACACAATACAATCAAAGCATTGAAGTTTGACAGGTGCCCGTGAACCAATCAGAGTTGCGCCCCTTTTGGCGGGAAAGGCCATACGGGCTTCCTTTGTTAGACCACGTGAATGGCAAGCTGGCTATAATAACTAGACTGAACCGGCTAGACTAACGCACTGCAGCTAGCATCACAGACAAGAAGAGCAGCAACATGGGTAAGTGAACCTTGATTTCCAATGCCGTCCTTCATCGTTTGATTGAATTTTTGCACTTACTATCGTAGAATATTGTGCTATTCGAGTGCTTTTAAACCCTCGATCGCTACGTAGGAAATTTAGTTTTTGATAACGACCGTCCGGCGACCTGCTCCATTGTCTTGGTTTGTTCTTCAAATGGCCATTTTGAATCCCATGTCCGCGTGGGGACCTGCTAAGGGTCATTTCTTACTATTGAAGCCTTGGATGGTTAGTATTTGGTAATAAGTGGTCAGAACGGGACACACTTTCAGATTTTTTTGTTTATTTTTATGTAGTGAAGGAATATCTTGGATTAGATTGGTATAAAATTTAGCGATAGTATCAAGCACAGATTTGTAAACAAAGCTTGTTTACACACTCCGAGGGAAGAACTCGTGTTAGACGTGAAGTAATATAGATATTCTTGTCTGAAAGTATTCTCGAACGTTGACTAATAGCATGCATGGCTGATTTTGCTTGTTTTTCCATAATGTAAGTGCTAAAACTCGAGGTTTGTAGAAGCAGGAGTAAAATCTGGACCCGAGCTTCAGAAAACATCGCGATTTTTCGATTTAAATATTTGCTTCGAATTTTGCACGATTCTTTTTATTATTCGTGACTTGTTTTGGATAAACATATTTATTGATGTATGACAGAATGCCTTACCTGGATATTTTCACAATCACTGTACACAACAGTTGATCTAACTATTTGTTTACGAAAACAGCATGCATTGAATTGTGGAAGTGTTTCGGCTTTCATGTAGATCGCATAAATGCAAGTGAATTGAGGCTCTTTGGAACCTATTATGACCATGATTGTTTTGTTTCTGATTTTAGGTCGCACGAAAGCCGAATCTCCCAAAAAGAGGAAGAGGGTTAAGGATTTGAACAAGCCAAAGAGGTCCACATCTGCTTATTTCTACTTCCTAGCTCATTGTAGAGAAAAGGCTCAAAAGGAAGGCAGATCTATATCAAAGGTAGAAAAGATGATTCTTAGACATCATATAGGCTCCCATGTGTTTTATCTTAGTGATTTTAAGACTTGCAAGCATGTTAGATATAGAATCGTATAAACATGATAAAAAAACAAACATGTTCAGTGGAGAATATGTACTGTTTTCAAGTTTTGATTTAAAACATTTTTCCAATTGTCAGTTTCGGGTATCATCGATCAAAATTAAGATTTGAAGTCAAGGGGTCATGTCGTAACGTCAATATTTGGAAATATTGATTTGTGAAGGGTCATGGTGTCCTAGATTCAGTACTGTAGCATCACATCTCAAAGGACTCTGTAAGTTTTAAGTTTGCAACTAATCCAGAGCAGTATTTGAGGTTATGGATAAGTTTCATAGATTCTGTAACAAATGTAAACATAATTTCCTTCATGTGTCCATGTTTTTGTACATTCCAGATTGCAGAATTCACAAAAGAATGTTCCGCACTATGGAAAGACATGAATGACACGACAAAGAAACCATTCAATGACAAAGCAGAAACAGACAAGTTGAGATATCAGAAAGAGGTTGGTACATGACCATGTCGTAAAATTGTCACCAAATATATTACATCCCTTATAAAACAATTGCTTCTTAGACAATAGTTTTTGCAGTGGTATAAACTAATAGTTTTCGTCAACTATTCCTTATAATGATAACATAAAGCAATACCTTTAAAATTGGCAAATGTCTACTAGTCCTTATGATAGCTCAACTACTGCGCAGTTTGGCAAGGACTACAGGACTAGTGTCAATTTCTAACACTGCTTTGACTCTATGAAATAAAAATTAAGTAATTTCTTTGCATTTTCAGTAGACTTTACATATACTTTTTTTATGAGCTTCCTAGATGTTTAGAGGGTTTGGACTAGTGGCTAAGCTTACCTACAAAAAGTGTCACTAATTATCGTAAACATCCTGCACTTGAACAGTATTTGCATTGGTATTTTCATGGTATCTTCTCCCACAATGTGGGATTTCAGTGTATTATTAACATTCTATTGGTAACAAACATTTGTTGGAGAAAGTGTGAGGAATGTAAGAGAGGTAGCTCTGATTGTGAACTTCTGCAAGTTCTGAATGACTGCCCAGATCTCCAAGCCAACAGCTGAAGTCTAGTTGCTTAAGTAATAGTGTGACACCAATGTTAACAATTCAGTCTGCAACTTCAGCTACTTTATCATTGATTCTGGTTGGCTTGGTAAGCTTGGTCATTAATAGCCAATCTATCAATCAATATTAATAATGAGCTTCTGTAATGTTTTTTTGCTGGGCATTTAGTGACAGTTTGTAATGTTTGTAAAACTATTCTTTCAGATGGGAAATTACAAACCACCTAAGGGAGGTAAGACTGGTGGGAAGGTAGAAGATGGTAAACCAAAGCGACCACAGTCAGCATACTTTCTCTTCCTTGCCGACCACAGAAAGGACTGCAAGGGCAAAGATATCGGTCACAAAGATATTCTCAGACAAGGTATGGCAATTGTGAATTATATATTAGTGTATGAAAAACTTCTGTGATGCATATAATTTAATTGTAATCTTTCCTGTATATGTGAAGTTTTTGTCTATTTTACTCCTTTATTAAGAGAGCCATCACTTGGGCAGAAGTGAAAGAAATGGATGGTATCCATATTAAATACTATAACACATTTTATAACAGCTGCCAAGAATTCATCAGAAGAGCAAAATTTAATACATATGTTTTTTGTTGAAAAAATAGTCAAATGCTTTTCCTTTTGGCAGAATACATAATCTAAAAGGAAAATGGACGTTTTGATGGGGATATTATTGTTTTGTTCTTTTTTGTTGTAAATGCTGAGGAATAGGGAAATTTAATTCAAATTGGGAAATGTTACCTAATTTGCTGCGGACTCGTGGCCAGGTCTGAGCAGGTCTAGATGCATCCCTCTTTTTACAATTCAGTGTGTTGTGATGTCATTCAATATCATTCACAGTGGTTAAAGTTAAGCATGAAAGGAGTCCTTGTCATAGTTTGTTTTTTAACACCACACTCGGCAATATTCTTTTTTGACAGCTGACTAGGTTACGGAGTATGGACCAGAAATCCAGTGATTTGATATGAGCATGGATCCATACAATTGGTATGAGACATGCATTAACCATGGCAGCAAGCCTGACCACCAAATCCTGTTAGTCAAGAATCATGAGTTGCTGAATACCTATTCTTCATGGGTTTCCTTGTCATAACCCCAGTGTTAAAGTAAAAGATATAGGGAATCCCTAGACCCAAATACTATTGAAGCAAATATCAAGGATCCCTTGAACATTCCTAAGTTCAGCCACTGATAAATATTCTAAATATGCCATGTGTCATCATTGATTTTTACATGCTTTGATAATAAAAAAAAAATATATTTGTTTATTTTAGCTGGTGAGAAATGGCGAAAACTGACTGACGACGAGAAGAAACCATACGAGAAAGGTGCACTTGAAGAGCAGAAGAAATATGAAAAGGCAATGGAAGAATGGAGAAAGGTGGGTTGTTGGCAACATATGTAATTTTGAAGCTGAGAAATCTATTAACTGGTGACAGCCTCTAGGAGTACCATGTTTAATATTTAATGTAATGCTGCATTCTAGTTCTGATATCAAATGCTCAGTGTAGTAAAAAAATGTTGCATGTTTTTATGCCCTGAACTTTGAAAGTCCTGAATTCTCAAAATGCTGTTTCCTTTCTAGGGTGGACCATCTGCTGCCAAGAAGACAAAACAGTCAAATGGCAAGAGTGAAGATGATGATGAAGAGGAGGAAGATGAGGAGGAGGAAGAAGGGGACGATGATGATGAAGAGGAGGAAGACGATGATGAGGATGATGAGTGAAATAAATGAGACAAATGCTCTATTGTTGTGACTGGCAGACCACCAGGAGACTCCCTGTAGCACCGTCTTGCAACATGCCGACCAGACATCTGCTTCAACAAGGATATGTGCTCTGGTCTGGCAATGTTGCATTCAAATTTCCCAGAAGGTGCTGAAAGCTTTAGATCAAAATTTGACAAATGACATTGTTATTGAATTGACAACTTTTGTCATCTAAACCTGCCTTTTGTTCCATACATGTGAAACAAGTTTGAAATTGAGGCAGCTCCAAATAGCAATATTCCAAAATAAATGCCAAAAGACATTCTTGTGAGAAAGTGCTACATATATTCATGTTTGTATTTTTCTAATGGGGTTTAAACTGAGATCTGAACATTTAAGCCTTGTTTTAAAGCTCAGGGACATACACTGCATGTTAATCTCCCTTGGTTATTTTATCACAAGCATAGGAAACGTTTAATTGGAAATGCATTCATTGTCAAGATAGTTTAGAATTGGGCAATTACTATCATCGCCATTCCAAACTGGTTGCATTTTAATAACAGGACTTAGATTGAATAATGTGTTAAATTTAGCTGCATTTCCTCAGTTAGATGTCATAATCATGTTCACTTGACCTGAGCTCAACATTGTACTTAAGATTCTTACTAAGTCAATAAACAAGCCAAAGAAATAATGTGTCTTTATTCAAGTGTTGAGCACAACATATCATGTCTAGCCTAGGGTTGTGTATAGAATAAGTCATGTTTGCATGAACTTGTGAGGCCAGTAAGTTGGAAGTAGGAAGATAAATGGTTTCTCAAGCACTGCTGAGAATCTGCTCACCTGAATCGTCACTCATACTGCTTGGTCATCCATTTGTGTTGTATTCAATGAGGTCTGTAATCTTAGGGCTGATCGTGTTATAGAAAGCTTGACCAGACCACGAGGACCTCATTTTATGTCCGTGTTCGAATTTTAATCATTTTTTTTTCAGTGTTGAATAAATTCTTTTCACAACTCTCAAGTGTTTTGTTTATCCAACAAAACTGTTTTCAATTATTTCAGACCTGTTTATTGTTGAATGCATCTGGAGGTGTATGTAGTGTAAAAGTTTATTGTATAGGCTGGGTAGGACAACACATTAGGACTTGCAATCACTTCTGAGATTTCACAACTGGTCCTTGCAACATTTCCTTTTCGCCTACATGTGGTTATTCAGACAACATTCCTCGGATTAGTCGATGTTTCTGAAAGATGCAAGATTCCTTGGCGACAGTTTGTAAGAGATCTTGTAAATGACATGGAAACATAGTACACTGCGAAAAATATCAATTCTGTTCAAATATTTTAACAATCTACAACCATGCAGATGGCCAAATAAATCTGCTAAAAGACATTTTTAATATGATTGTTGGCAATGAACAAGTTGAGTAGGATTGTTAGTATGTAATATTAACTGCATGTTAATTGTCCTTTGAAAAGACATGGTATAATGGCCTATATGAATGAATCCCCTTTTTTGAAACGGTGACAAAACATAACAAGTATAAAATGTGTTAAAAGGTACATTTTAGGTTTTAATGCAGTGTTTTTCTAATATTTCAATTAAGTAAATTTTTTTTTACCAAAGCTGATTTTCATGGACATACATCGAAACTTTGCAAACATCCTGGGTTTTTTTTCTAAAAAGCTGCCCATCTTTATTTTATTTTTTTTTACCAAAAGGCCTAAATTTGCAAATGTAAGGTGGTAAAAAGGCTAGTTTTCAGCCATTTTTGATAATTATTTTACCAATTTTAAAGTTATTTGTAACCGTACAAATTGGTCACAAGATCCAACCTCCTTTCATTCCCCTGGGTTTTTTTTTTCATGCTGAACCTTTTACTTAGAGTAAGCATGTCTAGTCCAACTCTAACTTAAGACTGTGAAAACATTTCGTTAATATCATGTTTGTTTCAGTAGAACTTTTCCATCTCGTGTTTCATGTGAAATCAAGGAACCTAGACTTGATTATTTTTATATAGCTTGCTTTGTGTCTGATTTGGGTATTCATGTTAAAAATGTTACAAAACACAAACTGATACATGTGTTAGCACTGGAATGGAACCTGTTGCTGCTGTGATAACTGACGATTTGCTCCGGGGCATACCCAGAGTATTGGGGTTCGAAATGACAACAGGTAAGCAGGGATTCCGTTGATGTGGCCTTTATTGTCCTCGTTCCAGTGATCACGCCAATTCGCCATAACATGTAAGGGATTCGGTTGCAATATCATACCATCGTCCGGTTTCATGGTGACCAAGTATGATTGAACAGTATTTTACAAAGTTTGTTGGTTTAACGCGGCACTCAGCAATACTCCAGTTCTATGACGGCGGTCTGTAAATAATCGAGCCTGAACCAGACCATCCAATGATAGACATAATAAGCATCGATCCACGCAATTTGAATACGATGACATGCATCATCAACCATGTCGACGGGCTTGACCACCCGTGTCCGTTGGTCGCCTTTTACGCCGAGAATGGGTTGCTGAACACCTATTATATCCCGGATCTTCATTTTACACAAAGTATTGGTCATTGTATGGATCATAAGTAATTTTTCATGCAGAACGTTTTTGGTAATTGTAATTATATTTGTTGTGAAAGAAAACCAGGTTGTTTTTAAGTTTGGGCACGAGTAAACCTGGTCCAGAATTATATAGCCTTTGTGGCACCGTGCCATGGTGAGGGGATGGGCCAACGAGGGATACACGGGTAGAATATATCTCTTCCCTGTCTTTCAAGGTGATGCTGAATCGTTGAATCGGCTGTTTCAGTCGAAATCTTTCGTTTTTGACGGTCATTTTTAATGACATCAAAGGGTATTGTGGACTTCACACTCGTCCTGGTACCCTTACATGCCGATTTAGGCTAGAAGATATGCAATATCTTATACGATGTGGATAATACAACAAACAAACTCGCGTCAACATGTATGATCAACTTGTTAAGATGGTGAGGGTCAATTAACTAACACTGCAGATACGGCATCAAAATCGTGCGAAAATTGGCTCCCGACTATGCCCTTTGGTCTGTGAGCACAATGCTTCACGATAAAATGGGAAAGTCTATGACCGTTCCACTCGCCACATGGCCGAAGCAATGTCATAGCGACTTAAAAATTGGTATATACTATGACAACCCGATTCTATTTATATATACTCACCGCCAAAAGAAACGCGAAACATAGACAAGTATGTACGTTATGAAGAGATGTATCAATGTACCACTTATTGACAAAACTAAGAGGCGACTAACGGGATCGGGTGGTCAGGCTCGCTGACTTGGTTGGTACATCGTATCCCTCATTCAGGGATGTGAAATCTCCGCGGAAAATCGCGTTGTTTAAAACAGTAGTCCTCGGGAAAAAATCATCTTCCGCGGAATTTTTTTTTAAAAAAACACTCCGAAAAATATGATCGAAAACTGGACTATTGGAGCGGATTTTCCTGTTTTCGATCGGAGCTTTCACAGCATAGGTTTTCGGACATCAAACGTTTTCTGTCACGAATACTTGCACTATAACGTGGGGTGTGGCGTCACATAGAAATTGTAAATACTCAGAGTCAGCTGATGGCTTGTTTTTAAGATAAAGTTGTCTTTTAGCCTGTAAGTGAATGAGATGTTTTACAGTTGTTCATGTGATAAGCGAGAAATTTATGAATGTTTCTGCCGCGTCCAAAACCCCATGTCATGGGGATATATATTGTATTAATGTCTTATGTTTGCAATGGAGTTTTGTTTTTTTCATCAAAGTAAGTACAAGGTAAGTTTTTTTCAATATGCTTCAACATGGGGAAAGGGTCACATTGCACGCTTGTGACAGTTGTCCTTGTGTCTGGGGGATGGGGGTTGAAGTTGATGGCAGTATTGCTCCCAGACCTGGCGGGTAGCCAGGTGCGCGAAAGCAATGCCCGATTTTTTAAAGTACTGATTTAACTTCGAAATTTTACTGCATCTTATTTTACTTATTGACTTTTGCCATTGACTTATTACATTTCTTGGTGTGAATGTTGTCCAAACTGCATGAAATTGCTTAAAATGCAATCAAATGTTTAAAAAATTTCTGGGGGGGGGGGGGGGGGGGGGGGGCATACCCCCAAACCCCCCTAGACTTTTCCTCTCTTTTTTTCGGCAAAACCTGCTCACATCCCTGCTCATTGCATGGATCGATGCTCATGATGTCAATTACAAATGGGTGACGAGCGGCATATTACTCCCCACTCCTCATTTTCTTACACTTTTAATTGAGTGAATTTCAAGACAATAGGGTCCCAGTTAGACCCTGTGATTATTCCAGAATAATATTGTAATGGGATCTGATCGCCACAAAAGCTGATATGGTTGGCGATCTAAGAAAATAGGTCACCGTGATAAAGATGTTCCCATGTGAGTTATCTACATGTATGTTGTGTTATCGTCACTTCCGTACAATATGGACTGTCGCAGGTCAAATATTTAACGGAGCCATATTGTATATTGAAATCAAACTTATTTCACACGTTGAGGTACGGATGGTCAAAGGCGACGCACTTCACTGAAGAGATTCGTCCCTTAACCGTGCAGCGATCTGGCAGTGACGGGTTCGAATTCGAGTTTCTAGCCGATTATACCCGTGGCTGTCTCCAAAGTGATAAACGTACACATGTGGCTGGAATGTTGAAAGTCAGGTAAAACGATACTCGCTCACTAAATCAAAGGGTCTACTCGGTGATTGTTATGGCTGAATGCTGTCATGGTGTCCTGGCGGTATGCATGGGGCGATGCTCATGGTATCAACCACTGTTCGGCTGGCTCAGGATCGATTACAGGTGATAGAACTGGAACAGTGCTGACTGCAGCGTCAAACAACACACCATAAGCAAGGGTAATACTTTTACCTTAAATGAACTCCAAAGATATGTTTGTTTGTTGTTTAACGCCACACTCAGCAATACTCCAGCTCTATGGTCTGTAATTAATCGAGTCTGGACCAGACAATCCAGTAATTGACATCATCAGCATTGATCCACGCATTTGGGATACGATGACATGCATCAACCAAGTCAGCGAGCCTAACCAACCGATCCCGTTACTCGCCTCTTGCGACAATCGGGGCGGTCGGGTAGCCTAGTGGTTAAAGCGTTCGCTCCTTCACGCCGAAGACCCGAGTTCGATTCCCGACATGGGTACAATGTGTGAAGCCCATTTCTGGTGTCCCCTGCCGTGATATTGCTGGAATATTGCTAAAAGCGGCGTAAAACCACACTCACTAACGACAAGCATAGACACCTTTTACAGCAAGCATGGGTTGCTGAAGATCTCTACACCGGATCTTCACAGGTTGCCAAGATATATGAGTATCTTTAAAGCATAATATGATATTATATAGTAGCGTTTTTACTACTATACTACTGCTATCTATAGCGAAAGTAGCCTGTTGTTTTTGTTCACACTACCAATTACAAGGAAAATTCTAGAGAGAAGGAAATGATATTTCAACAAGGTTAGAAATTCAGTCTTGAGTAAATGCCAAACAGGTTCCGTCACTTGTAGAACTGTAGAGACAAAAAGTAGTAAAAAAATATATATCCACTTATGTCACTCCACATCCCAGAGATCAGCCATAGTGTAGCTACTGGCCATTTTGGAAGGATTTTTGTTCATATTTGACAGCTGAATAAGAATAGTATAGCTCAAGAGATAGAAAATTAAGAATTCAGTGGGACAACTTTGGTCTTATTTTCACTGGCAAGAAAGAAAACAAAGTTGCCAGACACGGGCTACCAGGCAGGCGTTTACTTCGCATACTGCTATACTGACAGATGCTGAGTGTTGTAAAGTGACGGTGTAAGTAAATGATGTATAACGCTACAGCCAGTAACGTTTCAGCTACACGTGTATATATATCATGGCGGGTTGTAAATAATCCGAGTCTTCCCCGGCCAGACCAATACTTCTTTGTTCTTTAGCGTCGCACTCAGTAATATTCCAGCTATATATATGACGAGGTCTGTAAATAATCGTTGGTTGGTTGGGTTTGTTGTTTAACGCCGCGCTCCAGACAATGCAGTGATTAATATCATGAGCATCGATCCACGCAATTGGGATCGATGACATGCATCAACCAAGTCAGGGAGCCGGACCACACGATCCCGTTAGTCGCCTTTTACGTCAAGCAGGGGTTGCAGAAGACCTGTTCTACCCCGGATCTGAGTTACTCCAAACCAATTTATATTGACTGAAATGCGCCAGGGCATCGGGTATACCGATGAACAAGTTGACTCAGAGTCGGCAATCACAGGGTTAATGCGCAAGTCGGCACATCTGCATTTGGATGACCAGGTCTCTATTTGTTACGACTTTTTGATATCGTTGGTTCACATTTTCCTAAAACGTGCATTACAATTTGATTTTGTTGTAGCAACGATCCATATTAAAACATGCTTTGTTGCTATATCTATGAACTTGTTTACGCTTGCAGTATTCTGATGCACATGTACTCATTGTGAAATCTGCGTTGATTTCTTATATAGGTACTCGGCAAGTCTAGGTGAGAATGTTACCATGCATTCGTGGTGTTGTTTGCTCCTATACATTGACAGCCCCGTTAATCCGGACTGTACCGTTCCCAGTGACATCGTCTGGATTAACGAATCACGTATAAACAGAGGAAAATGTCCCTCTTGTCTTGATGCAACTTTTCATACAAGAGTTATTTTATATATTACCCACAGGGACACGGATGCCTCTTTAATTATTTATTATCCTCACTGAAATTAATATTTTTTGCGTCATATTGATTGTCCACTTCAATTGTTCTATTGTGTTTATTGTTTGCGATGCGGCCATATCAACACATTGTCGCAAATAATTGAAGATGACGTCATCCATTGTTCATTACCTCACAATCTTCAGCGAGACGTAATTCTACAAATAGACTGACTCAATGGGGTCTGCACTTGTGATTGCGAAACTCCCACTCTACATTTACAAGAGTGTGGGTAATATACTGATGGAAATAAATAAGGGAACACACAGTTTAAGACACAATCAAGTGATATACTATTATGGATTTCCATCCTTGTCTACACCAAATACGCTTTGGAAACAATGCACACAGAAACAACTGAACATTTGATTCTGACATGTGTTGGATTTTATATGCGCGCTATTTTAAAGTACCATCAGTAAATCTTACTGCCCCATTTTTTTCATGTTCCTTGATGCGTTTCCATCAGTATATATAGAATAATTTTGCAAATCTCAGACGTCCAGTTGCGCGAGCGTTGTCTCACTTAAAATGCAACCTCAAAGTAACAAAGTACTGCGTAATAAGATTTAAAATACAGCCCGAAAGATGAAAAATAAATAAAAATAAATACATAAATAAATGAAAACAAAAACAAATACAACATTAATATGCTGCACGGTGATGTCAAGCAAAATATTTATAATACGTCGTGCATTTTATCCGTGCTGCATTTGAACTAGCCCGTATATTCGTACTGCACGTGATTTTGTTGGATTTGATTGTTGAAGCCATTCGTAATGTACGTGCTTAGAATGAATGCATGAGCTTAAAATCTACATTGCAGAATGTAGGTCAGTATGCTGTCATTTCGTTACAGATGTTCTACATTTGAAACAATAGAGTGAGTCATGCTGACCCATGCAGTGACATGTGTTTGTTGGCCAGGCTCGGTTTCCTTATGTTTTGTTTGTTTGTTTGTTTAAAGTCGCACTCAGCAGTATTCCAGCCATATGATGGTGATCTGTAAATAATTGAGTCTGGACCAGACAATCCAGTGACTGATAACATGAGCATCGATCACGCAATTGGGATACGATGACATGCATCAACCAAGTCAGAGAGCCTGACCACCTGATCCCGTTAGTCGCCTCTTACGACAAACATAGTCGCCTTTTGCGTCAAGCATGAGTCACTGAAGACCTATTCTTACCCGGATCTTCACGGGTCGGTTTCCTAATGTCAAAATGCATATTAGTGTAAATTTGTTTTTTGAATAGAGGTTTCAACAAGTTGAATAAATATTTGAATGGTATTTAGAAGTGATACACATGAGGAAGTGTATTTATGGATATATATGATAACTTCTTTATTATGGGGAACACAACAATTGTTATGTTATACTTTTGTTGTTCTTTCACATACATACATACATACATACATACATACATACGTACGTACGTACGTACGTACGAGTGATGTAACGATATGTAGCACGTCAAAGAATGAGGCTGTCTGAAGTTAACATTGACTTTTAAAAACGTAAAAATAACTACAGAACGTGAATATTGACGAAATATTCTTCCATTGGAATAGGAAAATATACTATAGGCTTTAGACGGGATATACAAATATGATTTCAAAAACATTATTGTAACAAAACGAATATCTAATAGTCGCGAAAGAGTGTTTAGATATTTACATAATTAAAATCAAAAGCATTTTAAACAAAATTACAAAAAAATGTAGGTGATATTGAATAAACTATGCAAAAATGTTATTTCATATTTTCCCATGCAATTATCTTTATAGGTGATATTATACAAATCGTAATTGTATGACTTACTTCATAATATACATAAATCTTTCGCCACCAAGTAGTGAGGAAGAAACCCGTTTGTTGAAGGTGAAATGCATTGAACAGGTGCGCGTTTTATTTTTTTAGCGGTTGGTATATATTATAGACTCGCTATCCCGGTCTCGGTTTAATAGAATGGCGAAATATTTGACTGTGTGAACGAGGCTATGAAAAGGGGAGGGAATATGGCTGGTAAATGTATGACCTCGCTGAGTGAAGAGAGCCTGAGAGATAAGATTTCGTCTTTGTTCACAGTGTCTGTATGGACTCGTTAATTCAACGAGTTGTTCTAACCTAGCGGGCCTTGTTCAAGAAAACATCAGCTGCTGTTGTTGTGTCTGGCGATTTTTCTTTCTCGGTGTTGTTGTCGTCGGCCATGCTCGGAGTTTGACGGAAGTTGAAAATGGAGTCTTCCTGTGTCGTCAAATGTTTCTACTTTGAGCTCGGTGACTCACAGTGCTAGCGTGTTCTTTGTCTCATTGGCTGTCGCCTGCTCGCGGAGTTCTCTCAGGCGGAATCAGTCTGTTCTGTTAGTATTGTTGCATCAGCTGTTCCAACAGGTTGAAATGATTTTCGGTTTGCGATCACCATTTTCGAGAAGTTGGGAAGAATCGCTGAATTAAACATATACAGTGGGTGTCATGTCATGAAGAAAGGTGCATGTGATTGATTTCATAGTTCCTTCTGTTTTGAGTTGGTATTTCAATATAGGCGGGAAGAGTGTATAACTGTTTGACAAGATTCCCAATGAATCTAAAATTGACAGTCAACACAGGCCTTTGACATTTTGTGTTTTGTTTGCTTTACACGGATGGGTTCAAAAAAGAAAATTTAACAAGGAATTAGAAAGTAGACGTGCTGGTTGGGGAAAGCTCCTCCCGTCACTGGACAAATAGTTAAATTTGAACCAGTTATCTGATGAGCCGATGTAGTAACTAAGTGCAAAGAATTTGTTACACATTTATGAAACAATTTTGTTGTTCAAAGGAGTGCCAGAAGATTATCGACAAATTTGTTTGCCTCACGTAGATGGCAAGAGAATATTTTGAGGATATTTACATCCAGGAAGTTGAGAAAGTTATGGCCGCAGCCAACTCGGTGTCAGGAAATTGCTCAGAAAGTACTTCTCCTGACATATTCAATGCTATCAAAAGGAGAATTGTGAAAGTGCAGGCAAATATTGGACAAAATTATAAAAATGTCATGCAAGGTATTGGATTGCAATTGAAAAAGAGGAATGACAGCCGCAGCAATGACGATGACACCCATGTCCTGAACCTGGCTAATTCTTGTTTTTACCAGGAGCACATTGAAATGGAAAGCATTGACAGTGAAGGAAGACTTGGTCGGGGTCATGATTTTGTGACATGCCAGTTGACAAATCCTACTTGGTGTGACAAGTGTGGGGACTTCATCTGGGGACTCTACAAGGAATGTCTACGATGTAAAAGTAAGTCATTTTATTGAACCAACTGTTAAAACAAGTGCACACACCCACACACTATAACGCGCCATGTGCTTTCTACAATGTCCCATCCTTCCCTACATCACAATTCTTGTTACAATGCTATGTCTTGGCAGTGGATAAATAAATTACTTTCATTTTTAAAGACTTATCAATTTGAGTTTGTTGCTTGACCTTTTCTTCCAGCAGACCCAAGTTCAATTATATTTGGCTTGTAAACAATGTTCGTTCTGACCTACTTTAAGTTAAGTCCCATCTCATGTCACTTTAACTTGCCGCCAGTGGGAGAATACTTGAAGTGATTATGGTGGCTACATGTTATAGAGTCACATCTGCATGTTTTGCTAGTGGTATATTTTGACAGCCTAAACAGCAAGGCTAGATTTAGTTGTACTAGAGGTACCATGTGAACCTTCAACACCACATATAATTGATATCTTTGTCATAACTGTGCAGTATTCATGTAATTTCTCTCACAGTAGTACTATTAGTGAACTGTTGTCAGTTTCCTGTTAAATTAACCACTTTAGGTAATGCTTCATGGGGCTGATCAATTTTGAATTTCTTTTATTTCCAGTTTTGTACTTATACCGTATTCGACGTATTAAGCGCCCGGGGCGCTCTCAAAATTTGAAATAGTGGGCTCTTATTAGAATATAATTTTGGTGAGAACAAAAAACAGAGTTGAAAATTGTAAATTTCGTACAGTAGTTTATGCTGACAGCCTGAAATGATTCAAAAGAAAAGTATGTACGTATCATACACGAGAGATATATTTTCCAGAATTTAATTGCCCACAATTAAGGGTGCATATAACACACAAGTGAGTGTTATACACGAATCAATAAGTCTTGTGTACATTGATCAATCGGAAATATCGCCATGGGCGCTTATCATGCTTATTAGAGCGGGGCGCTTATTACGTCGAATACGGTAATATTGAAACATCAGGAATCATGAGTTGATTGTGACAGGATGGGCAGTCAGGGTTTGTCTGTTCCGACATGTGACTGTGAGAAGAAGGTCTGTTGTGAGCCCTTCCCCTTGTACAAATGTAGACTTACATATAGTCTATTAAGTCTTTTATTACACAATACATTTCTCTTTTCCACTTCTAGAATCTATATTTTAATGCTGACAGAATACAGCTTGCTAGACTTGCCTGTTTTATTATCTAGGTTAGTTTTAGTTAAATTAAAAGCAGTTATTCCACTTCTAGAATCTATATTTTAATGCTGACAGAATACAGCTCGCTAGACTTGCCTGTTTTATTATCTTGATTAGTTTTAGTTAAATTAAATGCAGGTATTCCACAGTCATGGTGTAGGACTAGTAGAAATGTTTTTGGTTAAGTTATATTTGAAAATAATAACCAGTGATAACAGGTCAGCATGAACAGTTATTAATGAAATAAGACAAGTACATGTGTGTCAGTTTCTGAAGATACTTTATGTAAGTAAGGATAAGATATATAGATGAACAACTTCTTTATTACAATTAGGAGCGACGTTTCCGTGTAGGTTCTAACACCGTTATGAAGCAAGTGATGTACAAAGTATGGTTGACAAGTATTAATACAGGTAGAAGGCAGTGTTTATACAAATAATTTATGTCTATACTTACAGACATAAAACTAACTAGAACTAATACTAACATTTCTTCCTTTGATAAAATATTGTACTGGCACATACACACATAATGGATACTGATCTTATATCAGTGTGTACCTTGATGACAGTACAGAGAGACTTTGTATTGTTGTTTATTATATATGTTGGGTGGTAGAATCTTTCTTTGGGGATATATGAAGAATGAATGATTTATTATCAGTGTTGATAATCAATTCAGATAAATCAGTATGAAGAAAACAAAGAGCATCTAATTTTAACTGGCCCCCTTCAGGTTTTTGTATCTTTACCTTGTTAACAGTCTTAATGGTAAACATTATCCTACCCAGGGCGTACAGTAATCAGGTTAAATCATCCCTTTATTGCACGTGTTGTTTGCATTAAGTAAATATGAAGCAGACATGTTATCAGTCAGAATCCAGCTACCTCCGCTCGCCTCACTCCAGGTGTAGGTACCCCCTCCTCTTCACACATCAGTTACCTGGACCGACATCTGTTGTATCGTGTACTCGTTAACCATGTTAACATGTCCATAGTGTTGAACTTTCACCGAGGCTGTCATGATTAGAATTAAAGTTGGAACCATACCTTGTCAAGGCATTAAGATTAACATTATGTTCTGACATGCTGCTCATCTCTTCCCATCAGCAGTATGAAAGCCTTGTGGTGGGAGCCTTGGTTTATCTCTGGGTAGATCCGGGTTTCCTTTCCTGGCATACCGCCTCCGTGGTCTAGTGGTAGAGCGTCCGCCCAGAGAGCAGAAGGTCCAGGGTTCAATCCCCGGCCGCGTCATACCAAAAGACGTTAAAAGATGGTACTTGTTGTTACCCTGTCTGGCGCTCGGCATTAAAGGGCTAAAACAAGGACTGGTCGGCTCGGAGTCAGTATACTGTGTCTGAGTTGGGTATTCATGTTAAACTGCGGCATGGTATCTCAGTGTGCTAGCACCATAAATCGGCATCAGTCCGGACTAGTACAAGCAGCCACACACACATGTGCATGCACGTCGCTATATAAGTGCAATAATCTTGGACGCGACGTTAAACCCCATTTCACCTCACCTCACCATTCCTGGCATGGGTACAATGGGTGAAGCGGGGACAGACATGGTCCCTAGTCTGTTAGTACAAGACGAGTGAAAATCCAGAGTGACTTGTTGTTTACTCTGAAAATCTCTGGAGATATTTTTCATACACCACTAGTCTGAAATGAGCTGCAGCTCATTGGTTTCACCAAAGTGGGAAGATCTGTGGTAAGGTCAGCACCCCATGATGTTGCTATACCGGTAATATAGTCCATGCAGCCATTGGATTGTCTGGTCCAGGCATGATCATATTACAGGTCACTGTGGACAGGATCAGCTTTCTCTGGGATATGAATGCCAGATTCAGTGGTCAGTTTGTTTGTGTGTTTCTCCAGTGGTGAAATATCTACTGCCAGCTTCACTTGGGGCTTTCCCCCTGACACGCTTTGGTTAACTGGACAACTGTTTAAAGCAGCAATAACCCAACTTCTTCAGGGGGCATGGGTGGCCCAGTTGTCGAAGTTCGCTGTACAGAGTTGCGTCCCTTGGGCAGACCAGAAACCTATGATTGTGGGTTTGAATCCCGGTTTGCCCTGATTATGTTTCTTGGTTGGTCAGCACCATACCCATGCTTGTGGGTTTCACCAAAGTGGTAAACATCTGAGACCTGCATCATTTCGGTCTTTCCTCCAACATTAAGCTGACATGCGGCGCTATAACTGGAAAACTGTTAAAAGCGGCGTTTAACCCAACTCACTCACTTCACTCACTCACTCACTCACTCACTTTACTCACTCACTCACTCATTTTACAGGTCACTGTGATGTGACAGACTTTTACTGACTGATCATTCACCAATGGAAATTGGAATCTATTTGACTGTACAGAGCAATTGATTATCCTCGAAAAATATGTTCATATGGATTCCCTTCCTTAGTCATGACAGGATCAGCTTTCTCTGGGATATGAATGCCAGATGCAGTGGTCAGTTTGTTTGTGTGTTTCTCCAGTGGTGAAATATCTACTGCCAGCTTCACCATGTTCACTTCGGCCTTTCCCCCTTTTGTTAGGTGACACGCCATGGTTAACTGGACAACTGTTCAAAGCAGCAATAACCCAAATTCTTCACTCACTCACCCACTTAATTGAACAGTACCAGTGGGAACTCAAGGGTAGAAAAGATCCTACGACAGTAGCCTGTGATTTACTCTGTGTCACAGTCCTTGAACCATGCATATTATTTTCCATTCCGCCCAACCCAAGCTATTTAGATGTAGTTGCTTGTAGTCTATCAACACTACATATTTTCGGAGACTAAGTCTAGTCTACCTGTGATTGTAAGAGTGGATGAGGTGGTCAGACTCGTCGGTTGATTGTGTGTCATCATTCCCCAACGGTGTGGATAGTTGCTCATTATGTCAGTCACTGGACTGACTGGTCCAGATAGGCCACAATCATATGACTTCTGAGTGCAGTGTTAGGCAACAAACAAACAAATGATGTTGACAAAATTGCATGTTTTGAGTAGGGCCGGGACAAGTCCATATTTACTACCGAGGTACCACATCCATTGTTACACAACCCTACCTGGGTGCCTGCTGTAGGTGCCCAGGGTTGGGTACAAAATGTCTGGTTGGCAGCTGTTTTTTCCAGAGCCCTGGCAAAAACCATTTTGATACAGGGATGAAACAATCTGGTCATGCATACACTGAGGTTGACTGAAGGTGTATCTTTACTCAAACAAATAAAAGTCATACACATAAGGATTGAGTGCTTACTCAGAAAGAAACGTGAACATTAGCAACTTGTAGTGTAACCATGGAGTTTTAATTGTTATTGTCATTAAACAATGAATCACATGAGTAACCATAAGTCAGGGTGGTGTCCTATGCAGAGCTCTCAAGTTTTTTCTTGATGGTTTCTATTTCAATTGGTTTATCACATTTTCATTGGGTAACCAATATTTTTTCACTCATATATTCATCACTCTTTTGATTTTTTCCCAAAATGAGTGAACATTTTGAGATTTTAAAAAAATGAAATAGTGTCTAGATATATATAACGGTTCTAAATATAGGCTTGACTCTGAAGGTAAATTAGCTTGTAAGCTTCATTTGGTATTTATGCGTGCTTTTTTTATACATTTGAGTTTTTCATTTAATACATGCATTTCTGTACGCAAGTTAATTGAAAGTGATTGGGTTTTGAATGTTTTTTTTGGGTATTTTACGCTAATACGCAGCTCATCTGTAGCTCTGCCTATGGGTACAAGGACCTAGTCAGGACCGACTCGAGTATCCGAGATACCTGTCCCAGCCCTAGTTGTGAGGGTA